TTCCTGTGAGGTCTTTGAATATGGCTCGCTGGCCCACTGGGTGATAAAAAGTTCATGATCTGGCCCCACATTCAAAAAGGTTGGACACCCCTGGTTTAGGGTAATGAGTCTAAGCGTCTGTGCATGCTCTACATCTTGGCCCTATGACTACTTTTCCTCTGCAAGCATGCCACAGTGCCGTGCCCTTCAGAACTTTCTTTTTGCGCGGTGTTCACAGATGTAGGAGCTCTTAGTGCAATTGGAGTGCTTTTCCTGGACAGCTGATATCTTTAGCAAGAGGAGGAGGAAAGGGCATGTAACCACAGGAACGTGTGTAAATAAAGAGCGTTGCCTGTCTTTGTTAGGAGGCAATGTTTTGACTGCTTATAATTCTTCAGTTGTAATTGAGGGAAAATAAAAAGTTCTCATTCTGGCATCATACAAAATTTTTCCATGAAATTTAATACAATATTGTGTTATAGTTTATAGCTCTATACCATAAATATATTTATGCAGTATTACTGTCTGCTAAGTTCCTTATTATGTTTAGTCTCTAACTTATACTTGTGTAAAAATCCCAACTTTTTTTCAGTACATGTCTATGTGGCTCCCACTGTTGGTGTGCTTGTATCTGTTTCCTGAGCTGCAGTGTCCAGTGAGTAACTCCTGCACTCTTCATGTCAATGCCCTTGCCCTTTACACCCTTGGATGCAAAGGGGCATGGACCTACACAACAGTGGACCTTTCTGTTCAAAGTTCTGATATTGCACTTGTGAGGTGCCGGCACACCCACAGTGGAACCCATATAGACAAAACAGACCACTGTCGCAGGCACTGAAAGGTAAGTCATTTGTTTCTCTTTCTTATTTCTGAGTTATGAAGCATCTTCAAAGAAAACTGTTAGTAAAGAATCACTGCTTCAAAGACTAATTCTTTGCTTTCAGGATGATGTTTCACTGAATGGCTACAGAAAGTATTTGCTATCACAGTCATTCCCTGCACCTCTGACTGCAGCAGAAGAGGAGCTTCAGCGGATTAAGATTAATGAGGTATTTTAACACGGTGGATGGAAGGTGGGAGGATAATAAGTATAGAATTCTTGTACAGGGACATCGTTAGGCAAGCTAAGTTTCAGGTTGGTTGTTTTTTGCCCTTGGGGCTGTGAAATAGTATGAATCTGATGAGGTGCTGGAGTGGCCAACTAGGGGCCATGCTTTAACTTGGGCAGCAGTGACCACGAGATGATTGAGTTCAGGATCTGAGGAAAGGAAGGGTAGAGAGCAGCAGAATAAGGACCCTGGACTTCAGAAAATCAGACTTTGACTTACTCAGGGAACTCATGGGCAGGATCCCCTGGGAAGCCAGACTGAAGGGGAGAGGAGTCCAGGAGATCTGGCTGTACTTTAAGGAATCCTTACTGAGAGTGCAGGAACAAACCATCCCCATGTGCAGGACAGCTAGCAAGTCTGGCAGAAGACCAGCTTGGCTTAGCAGGGAACTCTTCAGCAAACTAAATCTCAAAAAGGCAGCTTATAAGAAGTGGAACCTTGAAGACATAACTAGGGAAGAATATAAGAGCATTGCTTGGGCATGGAGGGATGAAGTCAGGAAGGCCAAAGCTCAATTGGAGTTGCAGCTAGTAAGGGATGTGAAGGGTAACAAGAAGGGTTTCTACAAGGATCTGGGGAAATGTGGGTCTGAATGGGGGAGGCAGCCTTGTGATGGAGGATGCAGAAATGGCTGAACTGCTCAGTGCCTTTTTTGCCTCCATCTTCACAGGCAAGGTCAGCTCCAAGACTACTGCATTGGGCAGCACAGTTTAGAGAGGAGGTGAGCAGCCCTTATTGTTGAAAGAACAGGTTAGGGACTACTTAGAAAAGTTGGGCGTGTACAAGTCCTTGGGGCCAGATGGGATGCACCCAAGGGTGCTGAGGGAGTTGGCTAATGCAGTTGGTAGAGCCATTGGCCATAGTCTTTGAAAACTCATGGCAATCAAGAGAGATCCCGGATGATTGGAAAAGGGCAAACATAGTGTCCATATTTAAGAAAGGGAAAAAGGAGGATCCAGGGAATTAGATTAGTTAGCCTCACCTTAGTCTCTGGAATAATCATGGAGCAGATCCTCAAGGAATCCATTTGTAAGCACTCGGAGGAGAAAAGGGCGATTAGGAACAGTCAGCATGGATTCACCGAGGGCAAGTCATGCCTGACCAACCTGATTGCCCTCTATGATGAGGTGACTGGTTCTGTGGATGCAGGGAGACCAGTGGATGGGGTATACCTTGATTTTAGGAAGGCTTTCGATATGGTCTCCTACAGCATTCTTGCAGGCAGGCTAAGGAAGTATGGACTGGTTGAACAGACTTTAAGGTGGACAGAAAACTGGCTGGAGCATTGGGCTCAGAGAGTAGTAATCAATGGCTCGATGTCTCGTTGGCAGTCATTATCAAGTTGAGTGCCCCAGGGATCAGTCTTGGGGCCAGTTTTGTTCAATATCTTCATCAGTGACTTGAAAGATGGCATAGAGTGCACCCTCATCAAGTTTGCAGATGACACCAAGCTAGGGGCAGTTGTAGATACACTGGAGGGTAGGGCTAGGATTCAAAGTGTCCTACGTGCATTGGAGGAGCAGGCTAAAAGAAATCTCATGAGGTTCAACAAGGACAAGTGCGAAGTCCTGCACTTAGGACGGAACAGTCCCGTGCACCAATACAGACTGGGGGCTGTCTGGCTGAGCAGCAGCTCTGCCGAAAAGGACCTGGGGGTTACAGTGGGCAACAAGCTGGATGTGAGTCAGCAGTATGCCCTAGTTGCCAAGAAGGCTAATGGCATATTGGACTGGATTGGTAGGTGTGGTGCCAGTAGGGCAAGGGAGGTGGTTCTTTCCCTCTATTCCGCACTGGTGAGGCCACATCTAGAGCACTGTGTTCAGTTTTGGGTCCCCCACTACAATGTGGACATGGAGAGAGGACAAATTGGAGAGAGTCCAGCAGAGGGCAACAAAAATAGTGAAGAGGCTGGGGAACATGACTTATGAGGCAAGACTGGAGGAACTGGGTTTATTTAGTCTAGAGAAGAGGAGACTGAGAGCAGTGTTCAACTACCTGAAGTGGGGTTCAAAGGAGGATGGAGCTAGGCCATTCTTAGTGGTGGCAGATGACAGAACAAGGAACAGTGGTCTCAAGTTGCAGAGAGGGGAGTTGAGGTTAGACATTAGGAAGAATTTTCTCACTAGGAGGGTAGTAAAACACTGGAACAGGTTACCCAGAGAGGTGGTGGAAGCTCCATCCTTGGGGGGTTTCCAAACCCAGCTAGACAAGCTTTGGCTCGGATGATCTGCTTGGGGATGGTCTTGCTTTGAGCAGGGGGTTGGACTACATGACCTCCTGAGGTCCCTTCCAACCCTAACTTTCTATGATTCTATGGATGGCAGGTTCTGACTGTGGAATTCATTCACAAGACTGTTTTGAATCTGGGAGTATAAGTTAATAGAATCTCAAAGGCAATAAAATTGGTACTTTCATTCCAAAATAACCCTTTTGCCTTTTATGGACCTCTAGTATGTTTTGCCATAGTTTCTATAGAGTAGGAATTTTTATGTTAAGAATTCTATAATTATCTTCAAGGCAGTGAATGAAAAGTCTTGCTTCTACAACTGAGCAAGGATTTTTTTCTTAACTTGCTTATCTTTTATTTATTTAAAAGCATGCCATTAAAACAGATTTGGTTATAACTGCAGAACTTTGCCTGTGTAGGTTGTATTTTACATCAGCTAATATAAGCTTGATAGACAGTTTGTTTTTATTTTTGTTTTATTTATTTTTTTTGCAATCAGATTCCAGCGGACCATATCGTGGTATGCACCTACCTGTGTTCTGTATAATGTCTTCATTGTCCAGCATCATATGTACTAGACCTTCATGTGTTTTATCTGTTTTATTCTCTTTCAACAAATTAGTTCCTGTGATATTTTCATTCATTTATTAGACTGTAGAAATCAATATTTGTGATTTCACGTTTTGTGACTTTTGTGTCATCACACCGCATTCTGAGTTTTATTTGAAAAGGGTATTTTTAAATACCTAATTGGAACTTCTGTAGTGCTGATAACCATTCATTCGTGGTATGTGTATTACTACCTTTATTCAGTACATGCATATTTTATTGCCTTTTATACACTTAACTAAACAAAATAAAGTCGTATATGTTACTGCGCGTATCTTAATATATGCCAGTAACTATATGACTTAAAAATGTATACATTACAGATTGTTCTCACTTTGGCAGTTATAAAGTGTGTTAAGTTTGGTTTTTTTGGTTTTGCTCTATATAGCTTCCTCGATAGTGGAAGTTATAGTTAAGTGTTGCTAATATAGTGAAATGCTATATTTCCTCCTATTTTCACTTAAAAGCTGACAAAAAAAATCTTCTTTTGGGTTGAGATTTTCCATATTTGGTCTCAGCTAATTGTGGCTTTTTTGAGATTGAGAGAAGATTAATTAATTTATAAATAGGGAATAATTGTCAGTTCATACAAAGTTATGGAAATTGGTTTGTTTTCAGCTATGGCTAGCCCTCAATTGTGTGAATTTGAAAATGACAAAAATAAGATTGAATGCATAATTGCAGCAAAATACTTCCAGTCTTGTAGAAGACTTATCTGCCTGTGGCACCATATGGTTCTGCATGGGACCACCACAGTACCAAGTGCTGTAAGATGTTTGAGAATATGCACCACTGGTTTTGGCATGGTTTTCCCTTAGCTTGTGCAGTTATGAAAAAATCAGTTTCCCCCTTTATGTTCCTTTACCGCCCCCTCCCCAAAAGAAAACCTGAAGCAGCTGATAAATGGGCTGATTTTGTTTTGTAACTCTGTCTCATATAGAAAATAAAACAGAAAAGGCTACCTTAATGAAGTTAAAGTTGTAGATTTAAACTTGATTCAGGTAGTGAGAGAATGAAGATATTCAGACCAATGCTGACTCTTCTGCATTGCATGAATGGTATCTTGTACTTATTTGAGCTTTTTCATGTATATCACTAAGAACACAGGACTGGAAGGTACCTCCTGGGTTACTGAGTCCAGATTGCTGTTTTTGCAGATTCAGACATCCCATAATCCTATTTATAAATTTATCAAGGTCCATATTAAAACTGTTCCTATAGGAAAATTGTTCCTTAGTATGTGCAATGAGAGTCAGTATTGCTCCAAACTTCCATTTCCCGTTTTTTGTGTTAATATTGCATTAACCTCAGATTTTAATGTAATGGTAACATCTTGTGATTGTTTATATACAAGTCCAGACTTTTTAATGTTATACTTCAGTGGGGTGATGAATCAGCAGAATGTAAATGTGCCACAGAAAAATGCATTTGTGGCTTTAGAACAGAGATTTTTGCATATATAGAGGCTGCCAAGTGGTTAATAAATTATGATCAGTTAAATTTGAAGAATAAAATACAGAGGACAGTGTGTTTCATGAAAAACTGCACGTGTACAATAAGATTAGAAGCGTTTCTTCTCTGAAAAGTGACTCTAAAAGTGATATACAGTAGTTGGTTTCCATATTCATTGTTTTGCAATGAACTTTGGATCAAATCTTAAGTTTATAAGCAACAGAACATTTTCCAACCTCTGGCCTTGTTTACATTACATGAAATGTAAAAATCAAACTGTTTCCTTCTGTTTTCTCAATATTGAGATTCTGAAATTGGACGTAGTCAAGCTACATTGACACTTCATTCAGTTTTATTTCCTATAACTTTTATGGATTGCTCAGTGCTAATTAGTTTAAAATTGGGGTTTTAAGCTAGTACACAGATGGGATTCTATAAACACAAAGAAGAACAGATTTATTGAGTAAAGTGATACCATTTTAGAGTTGCTTTTTTTTTTAATTTTTTTTTTTTTTACTATAACTGCATTTTCATGGTACTTCTGTCATTTTCTGGATGCGTTTGTAGTATTACACACTGAATTTAGAGGCTGCATGCATATTTAGAAAAAATTAGTTTAAATCTGAATCCATATATTCATTCTAGGTACAAACAGATGTTGGTATAGATTCCAAACATCAGACTCTGCAAGGGGTAGCATTCCCAATAGCTAAAGAAGCTCTCCAGGCTTTGGAAAAACTGAAGAATAAGCAGATCAACTATGTGCAACTGGCAAGTACAAAATACTTCATTTAACTATTTTAGAAAATAATTATACAATTATTTTTAACTCATTACTCAGTAATTGTTGAACAGATTTTGTATTATTTGAAGAATATATTCATATCTGAACGTATTTTCCAAATGTGTTGTTCTGAGTAGGATTCTAAATCTTTTCCATATCACATTCTGCAGTTTGCCCTCTGTATATTTACCCTAATTTATGTTTGTTTATTAACAGCAAATTGATATAAAAAATGAAACCATTGTTTTGGCCAGCACGCTTCATACTGAACTTAATGATTTGCCAAACAGAATTCCAAAGGATTCTGCGCGCTATCATTTTTTCCTCTATAAGCATTCCCATGATGGAGACTATTTGGAATCCATAGGTATGACAATTTTCATATGTGACACATTATATGATTGTTTTAGATATCTTAGTAATATGCAATGGAAAGGGACCTATAAAAGAGATTTGTTCAATTTCAGTAGCCAAATCATTCCAAGGTGACTAATTTTCAGTGTCTTTTAGGTGTCAAACTCTGAGACCTCTTTGAAGGTGATACATTTTTGGAGAGTATTATATACTTTTTCTTGCATACCAATTACTTTCCCCAAAAAAATCAGCCCTCCAAGATTGGATTGTATACCTTAAACAGGGAAGCTGATTGTATGCACTGTAATGAAGGAATGGAAGCATGGAGGTCCTGTAAAATAGCTGCTGTGCTTCTCCCCTTGGCAGCCTCAGGAGCTGGAATTCATCCTTCAGGGTTGGAGCTACAGTATTTACCCTTTCACAGCCACTGCAGAATTGGTAGTAGCTTTTGGCTGAGAAGCAAACAGCTGCTGCCAATTTGCCAGCCACTGTGAGAGGGTGGATACTTCAGCTGTTGCCTGAACAGTGCTAGTCAAGATTCCCTGCAGTCAGAATTCAGCCATGACACTAGAAAAAATGTTTTTCATTCTGTCTTCCCAAAACAAGGTGTGTGTCTTACTGGTGGGGCTGTAGAAAGTGAGAAAATATGGTACTTGCTGTCCAGATGAGGTGCTTTGTAATGTGTCCTCAGTTGGGCACTGAAACCTTGAAAATATTAACCAACAGCTTTCTATCACCTGAAACATTAAACTGAAGATTTGCAGAAAGTGTTATATTTTTCCCACTCAACCTTCATCTTCAATTTTTGCTTTGTGCATATGTCTGTTTTTAAGTAATGATTTTAAGATAGTGGTTCTTACCAGTTTCTATTCTGCAGTTTTTATCTACTCTATGCCTGGGTATATGTGCAGTATACGAGAACGGATGCTCTACTCAAGTTGCAAGAACCCACTTTTAGAAATTGTAGAAAGTCAGTTGTGGATGCAGATTATCAGGAAGGTAAGTACATTAGCATTCTCCCATATGTGCAGTAGGGGAATAATATTAATTTTCTTTATTTTGAGCTCACAAGTCCATGGGTAGTTTGATTGAAATAGTTGTTCAGAATTGTAAAGCTGACTGCCAATCCATGTTATCACATTGGTAGAATATTATACAATTATACTGAATTAAAAGGGACACGAGCACACATCTGATTTAAAAGTTGTGCGAGCCAGCTCTTTCCTGCAGTCAGTCGAAGCTAAACTGGTGAAATATTAAATCTGTGTGAAACACCTGCTAAATTTAACTGTTTAGATTCTAGTTACAACAGTACAGAGCAGATGCACAAAACCATTGCCATATATCAAGCTGATATGTCATAAGGCTGTGCCTCCTTCTGAATTGATGCAGTTGCTTCATCTGTCCATAATCCTAAAACAGACTAAAATATTGTTGTTTCTAAATGGAATGTTTATGAATAAAGGTTTTTGGTGATAATTAGTATGTTATGATAAAGCTTGGGTCTGAAGAAGTTTATTTCACCATGGGGTAGTTTATTTTTAGTATTTGTGTTACTTTGTCTGAAAATAAACACAGACCTATATGCCATTCCATGACTAACAGATTAAAAAACAAATGGAGTTCCCCAGATCTGTTGAGAGCATTAGGATAAATAAATTAGCTTTTCCCCTGAACTTTCTTGCTCATATTTGTTTGAATATAGTTTTAGCACTTCAAGCACAAATTCTATAACAGTTGTTAAATCTCTCATTTTCCTTGGCAGATTGAAATTGATAATGGTGATGAGTTAACTCCTGAGTTCCTTTATGAAGAGGTTCACCCAAAACAACATGGCCACAAACAAAGCTTTCCTAAACCAAAAGGGCCTGCAGGAAAAAGGGGGATCCGAAGACTAATTAGGGGTCCAGCAGAAACTGAAACACCTACTGACTGAAGTTTGTTCTCATGGAGGTAATAAGGCATTACTGTAAGAGCTCAAAAATTCCACTTCACTAATGAATTGAAATTTTCACATTGATCTACACTAGTAAATACAGCTTTTTTCTCCCAAAGCACCACTTATCTCACTTTAGAATCTATACTGTTCATAGGCTGTGGAACAGTTGTTCATTATCAGTTCAAAACTATTATTTTAAATTTGAGCTCATTGTTTAATAGCTATACACTTTATTATCTCTCTCTCTCTCTCAATCTCTATCCTGAATATTGTTTCCACTTACACTGCGATGAGTTTCATACTGTTGAATTAAAGGTAACTGTGGGTATGGATTTCCAAATCTTTACTTTTACAAGTAGCTCACTGAAACAAGTGAAGACTATATGAGAAGGTTTGCAGGACTACACTTGACTGTCATCATCCCAAATAATTATTTATTTTTTCCTTTAACTATCAGAAAACAAAAAAAATGTATTTACTGTCTGCCTGTTTTTGAGGATTTTTAGATGAGATTGAATGAGAATCTATTCTATTTTGGAATAAGAATCTATTGTATTTTGATGCTGATGTTCAGGAATAGCCAGATTATTTTTTTCACAGAAATGATTGGCTGCTCCCAATTAATTTCTAATATTGTGCAATTACATAATCTTAGAGAAGTTTGAAAGAGAGAGCACTAAAATCCTTCTTATTTTTATACCACTAATAAAGCTTGTATGTTAAGTACTGTATGATCATGTAAAACATCACAAATTTGCACGTCTGTACATTTTAGTGGATTATGAAGCTGCTATAAAAGCACAAAATGTTTTCAGTCATGCTGTTAAACTAGATTACGTGTACAGTCTGACTCAAAAGTTTAAGCTTAGTAAACACTGAAATAGTATTACCTCATGATACTGAATCAGTTCTTTGAGTGCAAATTGATCAGTTGATTGCAAACTGTTTCCCAGTGCTTATGCAGTTCCTACTGCAGTGATGATAAAAATGTTCTGAAGGTAATTTTGAAACGTCCAACTTGATCTGTTTAAGGAAAAAAAAAACACAAAAAAACTGTTGGCAGAACCTGATTAGTCTTCCAGTCTTTTTTTCTAAATGAACTGTTAAAGGAGAGTCTAAAGTTTGTTCGTACAGATGTAATCTATTTAGCAGTAAAACTAAGTATAAACATTTTATAAAAGGAAGGGAAACAGTGGTGTTAGACATGAGTTAGTAAGTAAGCTTCAGTGATTTAAAATATGCTTCAATGGGACAAGTAATCTAGGGGATAAGGTATATCCCCAACCAGTGGGAACACTTTTTTGTGTTTTGAGCTTTTTTTGAAGAGCTAAGTGGATTTCAGGTCTTTTATCATTTCATAGTGTAGCATAACCAACATCTTTACTATACATATATGTCTATACACATATGTATAACATAGGTGGGTTATGCACATAACATACCTATGTCACACATTCTTACACAGTGGGGAAAGTATTTTAATTTAATTTTCTAGGGTGGACACATTGATATAACTACTTCCTAGTATATTTACTTTAGCTGCAACTGTTATTTTCATTGGAATCAGTGACTAGTTACTGAACCTGTTGGGACTTCACTGGACAATTCAAAGATTGCAATAGAGTATTTTAACATCTATTTTATTAAAATAGAAATGTTTTACTTCAGTTGTCTTTTTTTTACACCTTTATACATTTGTTTCAGTGCTGCCATGTACTTCTCTGACCATCAGTTAATTCCCCTCCTTCCTTTCATAGTGAGTTTTTGTGTGACTCTCTAGGCTTTTCCAAAGTAAATTTAGATCAGGAAGTATTTTTTTTTCTTTTGGAATTTATTTTTTGTTCCTTACACTCATCTATCAGATGTCTTGCTCTTTAATTAAAACACAGGGTATGTATAACATTAAGTACTATAGAAAACAACTGTGATCTCCTGAACTACACTTTTTGTAGATGTGATCCACTTCTTAGTATACCTAGAGGAGCAAAAACTAAGCCCCTTTTCCAGTTTTGTGTCAAGAAATTTAGAACTGGTTAAACTGATATTCTTTCTCTCCTGCACCAGAAAAAAACCATGCAGGCTTCTCCTCCACCTCCTTGTCACAAGCTCTATATCTATAAAGAATGTTTTACACTTTCTGGAGGATGGGTTGGAAAGATTTGGACCCTTTTCTAAATCATCAAGCAGCTGCTGTTGGGGGAGGGAGATGTATCAGATCTCTTCCCCAGTTGCTTAATGAGCTGTTTTGGAGCTCAACCAAAAACAAACATCAACCTGTTGCTTTTTTAAATTTTCTTTAAAATACTGACTGACAGTCACCATGTTCTGTAGAGGTCCCTCTGAGCTTGCAGCATGGAGTGTGACTGATTACTTTCCCACCATACCCTACCCCTAAAAGATGAGACCACAGCCTTTATTAAAGATTCCCCTGGAACAGAAAACAGCCAAAACATGGAGTTAGTTGAATAGAACCTTACAGTACACATACCAAATGATTCATTCCAGCTACATTAATTTGACCTATCATAGACCATTTCTAGAGGAAAAGAGGGAGAAGTATCTTATTCAACTTCTATCATGGTTGTATCTGAATAAGTACCCACCTTGTAATACTATACAGGCACATAATTGCTAGTGAATACTTAGCAAAACACAAAATAAGAGCATTAATAGAAGCTAGGATTGAGGTTCCTTGAAATGTTATTTGGTTTAAACACTCCATTCTTAAGTGCTGTTTGAATTAATAAAGCATACGGGGAAAGATGAAGCTGCTAACAATGCATGTCAGAAATTTAACATGCAAGTCAAAAACTCTACCTTACTTATATTTATTTCAACGATTCAGATGACAAGTACAGAGAGAATTATTTTTGAATCGCCCACTTATGAAAGGTAACAATGAGGAAAAGAAGGTCTTTTAAAATAATAGTTCGACTCCTGTTGGAGAGAGAACTAATCAAGCTATTAATTCCACTACCATTGAGATAGTTAATGCACTTACAAGTGATGACAGACTATAGAAACCTCTGCCTCTGATCTATATGTACTGAATGTAAAACACCTTCAAATGCTTCAGATAAAACTGTACTTTAATTTCTGTTTTGCAATTTCACTTTATAAATAAAGACTGAAGTTTATAATTCATTGCTGTCTGGGATTTTTCCACCATATCTTTTGAACAAAAATCTACATAAATTGTCACATATAAGGACACAATTATCACCATATGTTTACAAGCACCACAGTGTGTGTGTGTGTGTGTGTGTGTGTGTGTGTACACACACACACACACACACACACACACACACACACACATATATATACACACATATACATATACATATATTACCAAAGGAGAAAAGTGGTGGGTTAGAAACAAAATAGACTGGTTGCTGCTAAAAATGAGAATCGGCCTGCTAGGCAGTTAAGAGGTAGCTGCCTATATAAAGCAATAGAGGCCTTTGTAATGGGAGACGTGCCTTTCACAGGTTAAGATATTTTATTTCAATGGAAACTTTCCAAAGGGGGTTACTGTCTTTCTGTAACTTTTTGAAAAAGTCTTTGTGACAACTGAATTGTGACAACCTTTGCAACATGTACTTGCCATCTACTCTAATGTGGGTCATTCAGTTGCACTGTAAAAATACCCTTTTACACAATACATTGTAATACTATAAAGCAGGAAGAGCAGATTAGATGCACCTTTAAAAGGATCTTGTGGCACCCTGATTGAGAATCACTGCCTTTGTCTTAGAACCTTGCAGTCCTTGAACAATTGTCTTATCTAGTAGATGAACTTGAAAGAGAGTCTTTGGGCTGTCTTCTCCCTTAGCTTTCCCAATCCTTTTGCTTCTTTCTAGGCATTTTTCATTTGATAGGCAGCATTAGGAGCCATGTCAGTATTCATTTAGGCAGTGATAGGATTGGGTGACAGTTTTTATAGGCTATAGATACAATTCTGCTTTTCCCAATCACTAGAGAATTTCAGCAACTTTTTCCAAACCAGGTGGTTTAGAGATTTTAGGTGTTTTAGGGCCAGGGCACTGAAATATTTTCTAAAAACTTTAGATGCAAATAGCACAGATACCATAAGAACACAGTGTTTCAGAAACAAGTATTTTCAATCTTGGGCATTAAAAGATAACTCCTTAAACTATTTGAGCATGATGTAGTTCATAAAGGCAATACTCCATGTCGACTATAGCCATTTACCTAGCAGATCATGGAAGGGCTGTTGTGATTTAATATAGATAGTGTGTGTATGTACATGCATACATAACACAGTATGTTTCATATATGTATGATAAACTGTTAAGACTTAAATATTAAGAACATGTACGTGATTCAAAACACTTATTTATATGCCACTCTTCCCAGCAAAGGCTCAGGTTGTCTTACGGTAAGACATAAAATAACTTATAAAAGGAAAGAAAATATTAAAATAAGGAATACAAATCTCCCTAAACAGTACCATAAAATTATAAAATTAAGCTATGAAAAAATCATTAAAAATACAAGATACTAATTTTGTTTGATATGGCAGTATGCAAGAGAAGCTTTCTATGTTATAAAGTATTTGGAAACCTGTAGATGGCAGCTGAATATGAAGGCCAAAATCTTGTACAAGTGACTCATTTCACAGCAGAGATGTTTTAAACTTTCATTGTATAGGATGGAGGGATGTTAAAACTGTTTGAATTGACTGAAACATGAGGGCTGTGGGTTTTATCCTTAGGGGGGAATATGGGGTAGAGACAGGGGCTTCGCACCTGCCCCTGTGTCTAGAGATCTCAAAGCAAGATCATGGCCTAGACTCTTCTGACTCAACAGCTACAGATCTGGGGGTTTGACTGAATACTCCAACTAGTGGTGCTTTTGGGTCCTGACCACTGAGCAACAGAGTGCTTTATGCTTTATGTCACAGTTAGTCATGGATTAGTAGCTGAGGGCAACATAAAGAGCTCATTGTCCTTACCAGTAAAACACGTACTTAAACTGTTCTCATAATATTTACCTTATGGCCAACAATACCCAAAGAAGGGTGTTTACTGCTCCTCTGCAAAAGAGCAGGACATGTTTGCAGAATGTTTGTAGTCAAATGGTTTTTTTGAATGTCAATTTGGAAACCCTTAGCCTTACTTTCCAGAAAAATCAAATAACTCACTTATTGTTAAAGATCATTTATGTGCTTCTGATAAGACGATTATAGTTCCCCCAATATTTCTGTGCTGAACACAGTAACTGGTTGAAGTTTATGCCTGATATGACTTCAGATTCCAGATACTGGTTCTCATTATGTCTTTCTTACTGGGTTAAAGAGCCTGTGCAAGTAGTGCCTCTGAGACTGAGACCTTTAAGGCTTCCACCCAGGTCTCGGGGAGTGTAGCCTGTGTGTTCCTGCCAAAGACAGCCGGGTAGAAGAGTATTTCTGGTGTGAGTGGTGACTCCTGGTAGATTTCCTCAGGAACCAGATATGGGAGGTGGCTATGGTAGACTGATAGGCACCTGAGAACACAAGGACTTAATGCACAGGGAGACCTCTATGAATACAGAAGCAGCCCAGGTGAAGAAGAAATTAGAAAATGAAGACAACATCAGGGGGTGCAAGCTGGCAACTGGCCACCTTTGGCCAGGAGACAGTACCCCACTTCTGAACCCCTGACCACTGAGATGAACAGGTACAAAGCCTCTGACATTGCAGGAGCCTTCTCCATTGGGGGAGGTAGGCAAGTCATAGGCTAGAAGAACTGAAACCACCAGCATCAAGAAGCAGCAAATGGTGGTAAGAGCTGGCAACTCCCTTCTGTGGGGAACGGAGGGAATGTAGTGACCAGACTTCTTGTCTCATGATGTCTTGTTGCCTGCCAGGAGCCTTGAATTCAAGATATTAAAGACAAATTGATGAGCTTCATCTGTCCCTACGACTATTATCCCACGCTCTTCATGTGAGCACTGATACTGCTAGGGGTGACACTAAGTAGATTAGAAGCATCTTCGGGGCTCTGGGTGAGGGTAAAGGTGACAGGTTATGTTCTCAATCCATTGCCTCTTACCTTGGAGGTCAGGTGAAGCCCCAGACAACTAGAAAACAGCAAATAATTATAATACCCATTTTTAAAAGAGAAGAGGAGGAAGAGAGTTCAAGGAATTAGAGACCTATCTGTAACTTTGACACCCAGAAACATGGAGCATGTCATCAAGGAATGTATTTCTAAGTACCTAGGAGTTAATGAATTGTTTGGGATCAGCCAACATGCATTTGTCAAGAAGTTCTGCTTAGCCATACCAATTTCCTCCTACAAGGTGATGGGGTTTGTCAGTGCAGGGAGAAGAGGAGCAGTGAATGTGGTAATGTTTCCACTTTAGTAATGCTTCTGCTGCCATCGTTCATCATAGTCTCATTAGTAAAGCCAAGGAAATAGTCTAAATGAAACTACTGTAGGTTGGATTTGTAACTGGTTAGGTCTCTCTCTCTGCTGAAAATCCTAGGGCCATAAGTCATTCTGGATACACACAGATTTATTCTGCTTAGCTCTTAGTGCCATTTTCATTTCTCTCTTTCAAGCTGCTATTCCTCATTTTTGTGTACTTCTGTTCTTAGCATGAATCTCCAACCCAGGCAGCCTGAGCAACATTCACTTTCTGCAGACACCACTACTTTTATCAGTGGAGGTTTTTATAAAGTGACATTCCCCAAAACTGGCTAGCACTTGAGCAATAAGAACTGGCATTACCAATAAAGTAATATGACATACAATTTGCTCAATGCATCTCATCTCACATTAGTGTTAAATATTTTAAATGTCCATTTAAAAAAAAGAGTTTAGAAGAGAGGAGTCCTAGTGATACAAATATCAATTATCACATACTTTTATTCCATTTAACTGCCCCCCCACCACACATCCTTTAAATACAAACACTGAACTGACTTGAGTTCTTCTGTTATTCAACAATCATGAGTTTCATCTTGTTCAGTTTTAATTTTTTACACCCACATTAATAGAAAAAAGCTGAATGAATGGTAGATGCAAAAGATAAGGTTTATTTAAAGTCATAGCTTCCATTTACAAACAATAATATTTTAATACGTTATCACTGATTTAGGTCTTAAGTCTAAAAATTGAATGCAACTGTTTATACTTGAGTTACTCTACCTGCATTTTTATTAACACATTCAAGTATGCAAATTGCCACTGTATAATACTCCCACCCCACTCTATCAGCTTTCAAGAACTCTGTCATTAGCCCAAATAAAGGAATGCAAATTAGTCCTAAAATAGCACTATACTGTACACTTTTCAGTCCAAATGGATTTTTGTATGTAATATTTTAGTTATAGTATCTTTTTCAAAGCTCTTTTAGTAGTTTACAAAAGCAGGATAAAACTTTCTTTTCCTAAGTAGGGAAACAGAAACAAGATAAATGCCTTCTCATGTCATGACTCGACAGAAGAGAACCCACATCTACCATTTCTGTCCTCTGCTATATATTCACATTGCAGCGCACTTATTTATTCTTACTAAAAAAAATCCAGTGAAGAAAGCATATCTCCATTTAGATCTCCATATCACCAATAATCCTGAGAAAACTTTAAATTAATCTAAACACTCATCAGCTTGTGTTTCCAAATGTTGCATGAATCTGAAATACATTCTCAACTAATTTGTTCAAATGGGTATTGCCAGTATTTTTATTGTACATTGCATGGAACAAATTATTAATGCAAGTTACCTGAACTCTTGACAAGAGTAATATAAGCCATGTTCCACAATTAGAAATGCTTTTGCTTTCATTAGAAAAAGAAAAGGCCTAGTCAGTCTGTTTCCTGATATATTATAGCAAGTATATTGATTGCCCAGAGATCTGCAGAAGTGTGGAGAAAGTATAGCAACAACATAACATGTATTGCCAGAAACAGATTTTTAGTTCTCTTGCTCTCCGAAGTTAGTAAAGAGAGACTCATGGGAGTGAAGTATTATAACTTTGAGGGTTAGGATACCAGGTCTTAGTCATATCAGATCTCTTTAATGGTTAAGGCACAAATTATTTGAGAAAATGGCTTTAACGGTGTCACAAAAAATGGTGCTGTGGTAACAAAGGAGTCATCTTTTCATCAACATAGTCTTCATATAAGCCACAAAAGCTCAGAATGCAGACATGACATCCAACCGGATACAGAAGTCCATGTTTGCTAGAGTCCAACTGGAATGTAAAGCTGATATTTTAGAAAATGAACATACATGAAACATGTATCAAATGAGAAATAAATGTCAGGGAATTATCTTCTGCAGATGCTGTTGGACCTGCGAAAATACAGATGAAAGTTAATCATATTTATTTCTACCAGCATCACCAATACATAAAATGCATTTGTTTAAAAGGCCATAAAGTGAAAATCTATATACCATCTTAATGTCTGGTCTTCTGTTCTTTTTTTCACTCAAACATTGGCTAGCAATTGTATACATTTTATTAATTGACGTGGTATCCCAATCACTCATCTTTTCATCTACATAATCTTCAATTGTCTTCTCTTCATCTTCAATTTCTTCTGTGATACTTAACTGTAAAAGCATTTGATAGGATTAATGGTTTTGAGTAGAATACTTATCTAAAAGATGGCTAGTCATTAGGTCTCACATAAGCTTTTTAAAAAAAATTAAATTCTCCTGTCAGGACACCCCCCATGCTCCCACCCAATATGTGCCTTCATTATCTTCTCAAATATTTCTCTGGACTTCAGAAAATATGGTGGTTCAACAGCATAGATACCACACCTCATATGATTCAGACTTAGAACAAACCTTTTCATTTCAAATGGAATTTACACTGAAGATGTAGAGCAACTTTCCTTTATGTGGAGCATGACTTATGAACTTTCATCCAATTAAGGCTTAACAGTCCATTAACGCAGGGGTGCTCAGCCTGTAGCCCACAGAACCATTGCATCTTGTCACGCTCCCTTCCCCACTGTGGGGCTGGATCAGGGATGGGCTGCCCCTATGCCCCCTTTACATGGCTTAATGGGGTTCTGTTGCACCTGTCCCAAGTGCTGGATCAGGGCCACCGGACATTTCTGGCTTGCAGATGGGCTGGATACTGCCCATCCAGCCTGCCAAGGAAAAAGGTTGAGTACCACTGCATTAATACATTCCCCAATTTTCTTAGGACAACTATCACAGGATATCTAAAATACCTAACCGTCGAGTTTTTGTCCTTTTTCTTTAAAGGTAAGTACAGAAAAAGATGATGGTTACTGACACAGCAGTAATGACAGTGAAGATGAGTTGATGGAGAAGCTGTAGAATGTGCATTATTTTTGAGCGGGCACCTAATAACCCCTCTACACATGCAGATAAAGGAGCTATGGGATCAAATGTGCAGTCCTCTTGTATGGCAGAAGGTGTGATTGTGGGATCATGAATCAAATTCCATCAGGCCTTACTGCCAGTGCATGGGCAAGAAGCAAGCTCCCATAGCTGGGAGTCCCTTCAGTTGATGGAGAACCCAGGTGTGCAGGCACCCTATGCAATCTTGTCCCTGGGAGACCACAGGTGCTGCAATCTCCCAGCCATGGGGACACCCCACATACCCTCGCAGTTGGGAGCTCTCAGGCTTAGGGCAGCACATGGGCCCCCCAGCTGGGAGCTCTAATCAGTTGACAGGGCCAGTCATCGGAGCTCTTGGCTACACATTCAATTAATGGCATAACAGGATGCAGCTACAAAAGTTACCACATATTTTGCAGAATAACTTTGTAGCTTATTTTCAGCATGCCATTAATTGATTGAACATGTGGCCAGGTGCCCACTTAAAGTGTGATCAACTGATTAATCATGCCTTATGTCTAAGGTGTATATGGGGCCCAAAAAAGGCTATTCATAAATAAATACTGATACATTTTCTAGACACGGGAAATGCAACAAATCTTTTTGCAATGATGCAACTGATGTAGCTTTATATAAAGAATTATAATTAGCTGTATATAAGAAATTAGCTAAACTGGAGAAAACGGGTATTAGAGTAAGAAATGTAATATGGATGAGGGAATGTTTCAAAAGCTATTGCCCAAAGAACTGCTGGAATACAGGAAGGTTGGTAGTGGAGCTCCTCAAGGAATTCCTCAAGACCAACTCTTATCTGGAATGCTATGTACAGTTGTGTACAGTACCTCTCATTCAAGCAAAACAAACTTAAACTGCAAGAGGGACAGAGAAAGCACAATCAGTATAACCAGGAATAGTGAGAAGTTGGCAAGAGTTACTTGTTTATTTTAGCAAAATGTGGGCTGATTCTTCTCTCTATAAACACATTGGAAGGACACCTGCTTCAGAGAAGACCTAATGAATATGTTAGCAAAAGAATAAATGGGTATATATTGACCATGAATAAATTTAGGCTGCATATTATTAGAGGAAGACTTCTGACCATCAGCAGAGTGAAATTCTGGAGCAGTCTGCCAATAGGAATTGTTGGTACAAGTAGTATAATGGTGTCAGATGGAGCTTGATCAGTCTTAAAGGGATTATGTGACCTGAATTTCCTGAGAATAAAGATTAGACTTTATGATCTAAGACAATGGTTTTCATCTGTGGTCTGAGAACCCTTGGGGGTTCACGGACTATATCTAAGGGGTCCGTGAAAGATGACTATGATCAATCAAAAGTATGTGACTACCCACACTTACAAATTCAAAGGGGTATGTACCCTCATTTGAAATTTCCAAAGTACTCCACACCTCCACTTGAAATTTTTTAGGGGTCCACAAATAAAGAAAGGTCACTGATCTAAGGTCCCTTCCAATCCTATATTCCTAACAGAACAGAAGACCCTGCAAGCCTTCTACACAGATAATTGCCACTTGAGTACATGTTGGAGGACTGCAGAAATGGATGACAAGCTAACAGTGTTGGAAATACTTATTACCTGCCTATAGGCCAAGGAAAACTGCTAGATTAGATGCAGAATTAAAAAAATGCATCATTATAAGACATTAGTTGCTTTGTTTTAATTCTCTTAAGCCTTAGGTCTGTGGTGTCAAACACAGCCCACAGAATCATTCCAGCCAGCCTGACTGGTAGTCCAGCAGACTAGTGGAAGTTGTGGGGTCTGGCTAGTGGAGCATGGCCTGCTGTACAGTTCAAAGTCCCTGGATCCTGATGGACAGGGCCATTGGCAGCAGGGGCTGAGTGAAAGATGTGGAGATGCAGCCCTCACTTTCCCTGCTGCTGTTCACCCCCAAGCTCTATGCTGCCACCTGTGCTGCCATCTATCCTGATTCCCTGATCCATGGTGCTGTCCACCAATTTCCCTGTCCTGTACTGCCACCTGAATGAGGACCTGCATCACTGGATGCAGAATCCACCCCAGGAGGAGCCCACATGGTACGGATCTGGCCCAAGCCAAAAGGACAAAGGAGTCTGACACTCCTGCCTTAGCTTGATCATCTTAGTATATGTTAAAAGCAGTCTGTCTCACCCCTGCAAGACTTTTAAATGTTAGTAATATTTCAGCCTACAGGTTTACGGCATGTCTCATCCTAGACTAGATTATTCCAATAGCACAAAAACACAAATTCTTATATCGCTTTTGAAACACTTTGGTACCGCAGCTGAATTCACTGACCGTACCTCTTGGTTGTAAGAGTTCATAAATTGGGATTATTCCAACCTATAGATTTCCGACAGTTCATATAAAGTAATTCTGAAAAAGGAGGAAGGAATTCATACCAGCAACTGTGGCTCACGGTTTTCATCCACTGGAGAAAGCCCTGTTATTAGTTCCAGTAAAACCTGCAAGAAAACCAAAAGAAATAGCTGGAAGACATACAACAGTTGATGCATACCTCAGCTGAACCAAAGAAACAGGATCCTTAGTTTATATTATAGTAAATGTTTTTCCATTTAAACTAGTTTAGTTAAAAACATCGCAAGCTTGTACATAGGCACTCTTAGGACTTGGCTATAAGTATAAGTTGCACTGGATCAAGTCATATTTGTTTAAAAACAAGTTAGACAAAGTAATGTAAACCAATTTGGTTGCATGCTGCCAGCATCAAGGCTTCCAGCGTTGTACATAACAGGCATTCTTGTGTGCCTCAGATCAGATGGGCAGCTTATACATGCCTGCTCAGAGAGGTCTTCCATTTTCTACCTCCTCCTCTTGGTGATGAGAGGAATTGATGTCACTCCTATTTCCCTTCCATTTCCACCTACTTTGTAATCCAGATATTTCAAGTTTTATTTTTACTCCACATAGTGTTGTTTCATCCCTGGATACCACTTCATATAATTATAGAAAATTATGGTTGGAAGGGACCTCTGGAGGACATCTAGTCCAACCCCCCCTGCTCAAAGCAGGACTGCCTCCAACTAAACTGCCCCAGCCAAAGCTTTGTCTAGCCAGATCTTAAAAACCTCCAAGGATGGAGCTTCTACCACCTCTCTGGGTAACCTGTTCCAGTGTTTTACTACTCTTCTAATGAGAACATTTTTCCTAATATCTAACCTAAACTTCCCTTGCTGCAATTTGAGACCGTTACTCCTTGTTCTGTCGTCTGCCACCACTGAGAGCAGTCTAGCTCCATCCGCTTTCAAGCCCCACTTCAGGTAGTTGAAAGCTACAATTAAATCCCCTCTCAGTCTTCTCTTTTCTTGACTAAGTAAGCCCAGTTCCCTCAGCCTCTCCTCAGAAGTCATGTGCTCCAGCTCCCTCACCATTTTCGTTGCCCTCCACTGGACTCTCTCCAATTTGTCCACATCATTTATGTAGTGGGGAGCCCAAAACTGAATTCAGTACTCCAGATGTGACCTCACCAGTGCTGAAAAGAAGGAAATTATCACCTCCCTTCACCTGCTGGCAACACTCCTACCGACCAGTGTGCCATTAGGCTTTTTTGCAACAAGTGCACACTGTTGGTTCATATTCAGCTTTTTCCTCACTGTAACCCGCAGGTCTTTTTTTGCAGAGCTGCTACCCAGTCAGTCAACCCTCACCCTGTACTGGTACATGGGATTATTCTGCCCTAGGTGCAAGATTTTGGCACTTGTCCTTGTTGAACCTCATGAGATTTCTTTTGCCCCAATCCTCCAATTTGTCTAGGCCACTCTGAATCCTAGCCCTACCCTCCGGTGTATCTACTACTCCCCAAAGCTTGGTGTCATCTGCATACTTCCAGAGGGTGTACTTCCCTCCAAGACAGGTGATGGGTATTGCCGTACCAGTTAGGTGCTCTTACTTGTCCTCCCCATGATGGTCACAAGGGAGGGCTCAACAGTTTTTATGATGCCGAATCTGTCCAGACCTGGATTCACCATTTTCCTAAATTTCACTCTGAAAGGATCAGTCTTTTGTTTGCCACTCTATTTACTCTGCTTTAAGGGGAAGCCATGCGAGAGGAGCACCAATTACTATGTTTTATAAGTGCTTGGTATTTAGGTTTGACCTCACTATTTTCTTCTACAAAGGAGACTTTACAATCCTTGAATTACAGCTGCTTGCAGACTTCAAACCCACTCTCCCCCACCCAAAAAAAAAAACCCAACAAAAAAACCAAAAACCCAACAACAGTGCTTTACTTTGGGCACATGCCAAGTCCAGCACATGCCCAGAAGCGGCAGTGTGTTAACTGGACCTGGCTCGCACAATGTCGGTATAGATTGGGAGCTTTAGTGGGGCTTTTTTTGGTGCTTTTATATAATAGCTGATTAAATCAGCTTTAGAATAGCACCAAAAAGCCCCACTGAAGCGCCCAATCTATACAGATACTGCACAGCCAAGTTGAAGCAAAAGTAAAGCACAATTTTTTTAACATCTGTAAGCAGCCCGAGTTTATTAACTGTGGTTTCCAAAGGTTTTTAACAGGTAAGAACAACATTTAGCATAAATGCAATTCATCTTAAGGACTGTAAAGCCAGTATCTAAATTAACTAGAACCTAATATGTGATTTTACACTGATCTTTCAACTCACTTTTCAGCAGAAGGGCCACAGTTACTTGTAAACAAAAATTAGTTTTGATTAACATATTCAAGTATCTTGCAAATCCTTAGTGAAGCAGTTCACTTAAGGCTTAAGAGTATCCTCTTAAGGTCAGCTGTTCCCTGAGGAAAAGCTGACTGTACAAGATAAAATGGTGACAATGCTGGATTTTGTGAACTTGACTCGTTATACTTTTAACATTTATACAAAGGAAGCAAGTACAGCAAGTACTCACCACACCAAAGCTAAAAATATCCGCTTTGGGTGTTATCTCTCCACGTAGAGCTTCAGGTGCCATGTAGGCTGCTGTTCCCACAATTCTATCGGTCATAATAGTTTGTGTGAATTTCACCGATGCCCTTGCAAGCCCAAAGTCAGAAATTTTTGGCACAAATGCCTCATTTAATAAGATATTTGCACTGAAAGACAAAAACAACATTCCTCAGACCAGTTTTCTATTACACTAAACACGTGGTTTAAATATCTATGCATGAAGTGTGCTCATTATTGTCTGATGCTTGGAATCTGAAATAGTAATTGAAGGTAATTTACTTTAGTTAGCAAAAAACACAGCAATATTAACAACTGATTTACATCAAAATCATTACACTGTTCACTAAATAATTTAAGAATTGTCTATCAGACACACTGATTCAAATACAATTTATTTTTCCTGCAAACATGGAGGAGGCCCCAGGTACCACAATCACTTAACTATATCTATGTGATTTCCCTCCCAGACCAATACTGCTGCTGACAAAACAACCAAATAACCTTCCTCAGGTACCTGAAAACTTGTCTATATACGTCTCAATGTGATTGGTCCAATAAAATATATCAGAAAAATCCTCTTTTTCCTGGACCATCATAGCTACAACATCACTCCAACATTACCCCATACTTGTATGACATTGTCAGTGGGGTTATAAGTATTTTTTATTGTGTTTCCGAATATAAATATATGTGGCTTGCAATACATGGAACAATATTAAAGTCACAATCTTTGATACTAAACAATATCACTTCACTTTATAAGCATGATACTGTAGCCGTAAGTGACCCATAGAAACAAATCAAATATACAAACCCTAGTACAAACAAAACCATCTCCCAAGCCCTCAAGCTTCTTCTTGGAGCCTTATTAAGCACCACTGAAGCATGACTCTTACAAAAAAAGGACTGGATGTCTTAGCCTTAAAGACAGAACAGTTACGAAGATTTATAACATACTGTCACAACAGGCCAGACAACAACCAGAGATCTGTCTACCAATAGGTCTGATTCTGAAGTTCATACCTGACTCCTAAATACAACAATGCATGTAAAGAACAGTAATAAGTAACCAGCTTCTTTTTTCTGCTAACTGTGCATCGGCTAACCCTGAGAATTTCTCCCAGCCTCTCCCCTCCACTGTGCTGCATCTGGCTTTCTGTGATCAGACCTGATGAAGAAAGTTTGGCATTTGAAAGCTTGTCTAACTTTTCCCAACTACATAGTTGGTCCAATAAAATATATCACTCTAAGAAACATTTGCCTCTTGCATAATTTCTGGACCATCACAGCTACAACATCACTGTTATACTACTGTAAAGAACAACAATTTCTAAAGTCAGTTTCTTGTCAACTTGACCAGGAGCCCAAAAGAGACTATTATCTGATATGCTGCACAAATATGACTATTAACTTAATATTAATATGAATATTAACTTAATTCTTGATGCGGTTGTAGTCAGGAGATAAGAGCAAAACTAAAAACATTAAGTCAGCAATGCCTTCCTGAACCCACAGAAATCTCTCTATTGCTGTTGATGGTCTCTCTATAGTCAACAGCATTTTGCTCCCACTGAAGCAAAGTGAAATCTGAACAAAATCTTTTTAAATCCTCTGTTTGCTTACAGACCTCATCAACTCATAGCTGGTAAGAATTAATGTCTTCTTTATTTGTATTGCTAGTACTTGGAAACAGTATAAGTAGTAGCAGGCTCATGGTCATTTAAGTATTCACTGGCAAGGATTACTCAATACAGTCTAAGCAGGAGAGAAAAGAACAGAAGAAAGTAGAGTAGTAAGAAAAGTTCTCTCTTACAGGCAAAGGGGAGGGGGAGTACAGCCTTAACGGCTCTCTTCCCCAGTAAGTAGAGTTGCTCAGAGGCATAAGCAGAATGTCAGAGAAAGACACACAGTGAAAACAGCAAGCAGGATTTCAGTTAGGATCCAGGGTCAATATATGTCTATCTTTCTGCAAAGACTCCAGGCTTGATGTGAACTGGATTTAGCAGAAGTGATGGGGAGACAGAAACAGCTCCATGACATTGTCTGACAAATCAATCGATCATGATTCTTTCTAAGATATATGAGATATATGATGCTTGTCCATAAGGAATATAGCTCAGTTATGTTCTGCCCATTTCTTGAAACAACTAGACAGCCTTGTTATTCTGAAAAAACAAAATTACACAAAAACTTAGCTCTACAAACTTCTGCTCCATACAGCTCTATTTGACATATAGCAAGCAGGTTTAAAGCCCCACTTCTTTCAAGACCTTTGCAGATTAACATATAAACCAAATTAAAGGCAGGTCTTATAAAGTTAAGAAGCAAAAAAAGTCCTCAAAGAGAGGTACTCAGAGGAAACTCTACAAAAGATGATTTTTATTTGAAAAATCCCCCAAACCTTTAATTAAATCTCCAGTAAGAGTTGGTTTATAGCCAGCTGTTTAGTTCCTTTCTTAATTTTGGGATGATCTAGTGATCACAACAGATATTTGACATGAAAGCCTATACCGACCTGAGGACAGCAGAAGCTGAGTGTTCTTAGCTGGCTACACCCTTGCAGCATAAAGCAAATTTATTATAATATGTCTCTTACAGAAGACAACTGTGCACTTGAGTGAAGAGGTGTTTCGGCAGGTCTGTTCTGTCTCACTAAGATTTCATTTGCGGAAGAAAGATGAAGCAGACTCTTGTAAGAGATACTCTTCTCAAAATACAGTTGAGTTTGTTTACACAGTGCAAGCTTTATGTCTAAAACTTAATTCAGAAAAATCTGCCTTGTGCATTGAAATCGCCAAAGTGATAGTCTGAAAAACCTGAAAGATGTTTTGGGGATGTACTTTATGCACATAAAGAAAATCTCAGCATAAAGCATGCTGAGATTTTCAGATGCAAATCATTAAGAAACAAAAATGGCCTATAAAATGACTGAAACAAATGCATTTTAAACTAAGATAAGCAGGCCTGATTAAGGAAAAAGGAGAAAAATTATTCATAAGAATTGCATCAAAGTGGTCTTAGAAGCAAGGAAACCCGTCAAAGAAGTTTCAGAAAATGTTTGTATCTTCCATTCTATTCCATCATCTTCTCTGTAAAATGCATTTAATAGGAAAATTTGTAGACATTGGGTGCCTATATGCAAGCGCTGAGGCTGCTTTGATGCACTGGAATTCCAGCGTGTTGGAGCAGACTTGATTAATCGAGTCAGCTGGAGTGTGGCAATTGTGTGCTCCAGCAGTCGCCTAGGTCTCGTGTATCAGTGTCCCTGCGCTTAAAAATGGCGGGGTAGGAACTTAAAGTAGAGCTCATATGAGCTTTAGTTCAAGTGCCCCACTGCTATTTTTAAGCATGGGGATGCTGATACAAAAGATGTGATGGCACTTTGATTAGAGTAGCGCTTGAAACTGCTCTAATCAAAGCGCCACCCTCCCCCACCCCCAGACCATGTGTAAAAGTGCCCATTGAGATTATGACACATTATAATCTGCCTGACAACTCACTCCCCAGCCCAGCCTCTGGCTTCTTTACTTTTCATTCCATCCAGGAAGAGCACACACCAACTGCTGAAACTTCCTTAGCCTGACGAAGGGTTTTTGAACTCGAAAGCTTGCTTAATAACTATTCTCCAACTATTTGGGTTGGTCTAATAAAAGATACCAGATTCAAGCAAGGAACCTTGTCTGCCATTGAAATTAAGTATTTTACCTTTTAACATCTCTGTGAATGTGATTGTTTTCATGCAAAAAGTTGATGCCATTTGCTGTACCATGAGAAATTTTGCATCTTGTACTCCAGGGAATTGGTGCTGTGTCATCCTTAAATGAGAAAGGTGAAAGTACAAAGTATGTTCAGTTAGTATTTATTTATTGATGGATTGATGGAAATGGATCCTTTTTTGGTGTGTTCCTTTATTCCTTACCTATTATATCAATTTCTCTTCTCCACCAGTAAACCATTTACTTGTACATGAAAGAGCATTTATCTGCAAGGGAAATCTTAGCCATATTAGAAGATGGATGATAAAAGTCCCTCTACTGCTGCTTAACTCCTTAAATGATTGTTCAAAGGTCACCTCATACCAAAACTGTAGGTATCATCTAGACTTTTCAAAAGCACTGAAGTTGCCTACCTAATGAAAATAAAAAAGCAAAGACCTTAACTGTTAGTGTTCATGGGGCTTGTCTCCTCTTGGATCACAAAAAGGAAGGTTTTAAGAAACTGGAGCTTCTAAAATCAGGAATCAGCAACTAAGGTATAACGACTTAAGTAAGAAAAAGCCTACCTCTGCAATTTCCAACACTGATGTTCTTCCAAAAAACCAAACAAAACCCACACGTAAAAATATATCTTTCTCTCACTCGTACATCTATTATCATCCCATTTGAGACCAATTCATTTCTGCACTAAATGGCGACATTTTGGATTTTAACCATCTTTTGCTACTCAGCAATTCTAGATGACAAAAAATTATGCCCAGAAAGTTAGTTTTGGATTCTGAGCACCTTAAAGCACACAGTTTGGCAATTGGATGTTATTATTTTTTTCTGATCATCTAAGTGACCAATAGAAGATGGGATAACTAAGACCTGACTTTCAGTTAAGACAAACTCAATTGTATATATTTATATTTAAAGTGACAATCCTGTATTTTGTTATTTCTCTTGCATAAACTTCCAAGAAGTTTAGTACTGACATTTCTACGGCTTTCGGTAAGATTTTTACTACATAACACTTATCTGAATCTTTACTTGTGCAGCAGTATGTGGATTTGTCAGGTTTATTTTATTTCCCCACTTTATATTTAAGACTTGCATTACCCTGTTACAAACTGTACTCTGTATTGATTTTTGACCATATAACAACAGACAGCAAAACTGCAAAAATCCACAGAATCAAACATCATATCTACTTTACCTGAAGCAAATTGTGCTAGTCAAACAGGTTTTATCAACATGAGTTGAAGTTAATGGTCCTTCATTAAGGCTACAGACCAGGGGAGGACACAATACAGTCCACAGCAGATTCCATTTCCCAGAAGCCCCGGTGGCGCTGCCACTGCCAGACCCAACCCTGCTGCCCAGGCACTCCAGCCCATCCACCCCACACCCACTGCAGGGGGCAGGACCCGTGCAGGCAGGGCACAGAGCCTGGTGGCTGGGATGGGGCTGTAGCTGGGAGCCAGATGCCAGGGAGACCCCAGGATCTTGGGTCTAGCGTGGGACTAGAGCTGGAGCAGAGCCCTGGTTCTGCAGACAGGTGTGCAGGGAGTGCATTGCGGCTCTGCCCCAGCCCCCAGCTGTCATGGCCCTGCAATCCCAGGGTCTCCATGAAGACTGGCTGGGAGCCACATGGGCAAAGTGTGTGGCTGGGTGGGAAGCTGCCTGGGCCAGGGCCAGGGCCAGGGTCGCGGGGCAGTGACAGCACAGGGCTGGGGCCCAGTGCAGAGCTGTGATCCGCTCCCTGCACACCCCTGCCCATGGAACTCATGCCTATTGCAGGGGTGTGCGGACAGCAGATCATGGCTCTACTCTTCCCCTATGCTGTCACTGCCCTAAGATCCCAGGGTAACCCTGGCCCCACCCATCCATCTCGTTCCCAGTTGTGGCCCCATGCCAGCCACCTGGCTACGTGCCCTGCCCTTGCAGGTTCTGCCCCCGGTGGTGGATGCAGGGCAAATGGGCCAGGGTACCTGGGCAGCAGGGCTGGGTCTGGTGCTGCCAGAAAATGGAATCTGGCCACAGGCCAGATCTGCCATTTTCCCCACCCCTACTATAGACAAATGAACAAATTATACCAGGGGAATGTGAAATGGAAGGGAGAAGCAGCACAACATTTACCAACTCCTATATTTGTTCTGTAGCATGTTGTGTGTGGAGCAGCTGAGGGGGCGGGGGAAGCAGCAATGAATAAGTTCAACAGAGGTATGCTGTCCCACTTTACCTTCTCCTAAGCAGTGGTGAAATCTGGACACACAACACAGTAACTGCGGACTTGCTAATGGATTGTAAGGGTCTCCCACCTCCATCTTTGACCCAGTGATAAGCACCCCTTGTTTCAGGGGCACCTGGCTAAACCCCTAGGGACAGAAGTAGGGCTGGAAGCCATGTCCAGCAGAGATCCCTTGAACTTTTACTATGCATTTTAACCAGGGAACAGCTTTGTATGTTTTGAAAAAGTATTTTATCTAACCAAGGGCATAGAGTAGGTTGTTTAGGCTGGGGGAGATCGCTTGTTGCTTAGTTGTTTAATTGCTGGCCTCGCTAGAGGAAAAGCTGTATCAACAAAGTTCCGGAGCTGGAAGGGGGGTTACTTGTGGGGGAGCTGGAAGGGGGGTTACTTGCTGGGCTTGCTACACATTTCATCACATCAGCAAGTTTAACCTGTTACGTAGCTATATAAGGCAGACACCCACTGGGGTGTGGGTGCTTGCTTTGCGAACGATTGCCAAGCGCCACTTTCTGCGCAGAAATAAAGATTAAGTTGGATCCTTCACCCCCGTGTGTTTATTGGCACAAGCGCACCGGGCACGAACTCACTGTCCTTTGGGGACAACACCAGTACGATTTGTCTGTTCATACCTATAGGTTTTTCCATTTGGTTCATAATATTTAAGAGTGGGGACATCTATTTTCTCCAACACCTCTCACTTGTTGAGCTGTGCAGGGAAAACTGACATGAAGTCCCCTCCCTTCTCTAGCTCAAGCCACTCTTAGCTTTACATGGAAAAGTGAACAACACAAGCAAGCACTCAAGTCTCAAAGAGAACCAGTTCAATCGTACAATTCTCCAGAAACACAAATTAAATAAACGTGTTTCCCCATGCACTCATTTGGGCACTAATAAATGACTGAAGATATCTTTTGAGTGTAATAGAAAGACATCTGTTCTCCTCTGTCCTCAGAGGGTCTGAGCCATCCTGTCTATCCTTCAGTCAACCACTGCTTTACCTAGCTCCCTCCTTCCTTCTGATCATGCCTGAGTTTGCAAGGAAAATAAGCAACAGATTTGCATAGTCTGCCAAAAAAGCAGCCTAGTCTACAAACAAACCTGCACCAATTTAGTTAAAAAAGTGCAAGCTTGGGCAGAGGTGCTCTTGGGGCATGTCTATATAGCCAAGTTGCACTGGTTTAAGTCCGCTAGTTTAAGTGCCAGCTCAGCAGCAGCAGCAGCGGAAGTGGCTGGGCAGACAGGTTAACCCTTTTCTGTCTGCTCCTTGGGGATAGACAACAGGCAGCCACAAGTAAATGGGGGGGGGGCAGAGGGGAACCAGAGGAGCGGGTGGGGGGGGACACGGACGGGACACCGAGGACGAGGGGGGAAACCTGGAGTGGGGGTGGAGGGATTCTTACCTTTCAGTCCTCCAAGCCTTTGCTGGCCTGAACTTGTGACTGCCCCAAACTTGAGCTAGCACTAACACTGATCAACATATGTGCAGCTCACAGTGTAACATGTAACAAGGCCCTAGATTGTCTGCTTACTGATTACAATTGGTTAACTAAGTCAGTTTAGAGACACTTAGTTAAAACTAACACAAGTCTTCTAGTAGACTGCACTAAAAATCGCAGTCCTAGTAGCAATGTCACAATTACCTCACCTATTTCAGATCTACCTGTAAGGTCTGTTTAAAAATTTGATACTAGTTCTTTGATAATTATTTCTCAACATAGATGCAAAGAAAACCAGTTCCAGTTAACTGTCACAACCCAGTTAATCAGTGCCCATGCCACTAGCAAGAGATACCATTCAAGTAGTCAACTTAGGGATAAAAGAAATCCTTGCCAGAAACTCCTAAAACAAAATCCTGGCGGAGAGCTGTATATAATTTATGCCCACGTCACAAACAAGAAACAAAACTTAAGACTGGTCAGGGTGAAAGGGGATAGCCCTGCC